TATACCTAGGGAGTTAGTAGCTTAGTACTTAGAATTGGAGGCGATGATGTCTACAGCTGGGGACTCTTGGACATCCGAATTTGGGGGGAAAATATGGGAAATACAACTGGACTACTGATTAAGCTCTGGCAATATGCCGATCATCCATAGCCCTCTTGGTAGGTATGTTAGCATGCAATACACCCAAGCAATCTTTTTTTTTTTTCAATGCAGTTCAATCCATCAATTCCCGCGAATCTTGTGTGTCGCGTCCTGCTTTGTCCTCTAAATCAAGTGCCTACCAACTACTTAGTGCTTACATCGGATCGCCCCCAAACTTTCCGTCTTCACCAAAAGAGAACCCGCCATCGTCACGCCTCGAGCTGAACAGGAAGCCTCAGCCACACTCCGACACCTGCTTCCAGACCTGGACTCACACTCTCGCCAAACATTCGACTCTACAACAAAGACCCAGTCCCCAAGACACGATCTCCGCCATTCTCGATTTCCCTTAGATACAGTCGCGACTCATCGACTTGATATGCTCGACGGCTTCCCACCGTAGAGCGACAAAGCGTCATGGACGCGTCGGTAACCGACGTACGTCGCTCCAGTATCGAGAAGATGCCCATTTCTCCAACTCCGCCTGTTGACAGACTCCCCGACGAGATCATTGAACAGTGAGTAATCACAGGGGTTTCCGCAACTTTACATCAAACTTGTCCTTGGCCGTATCGAACGACTGGTGTCATCGGCAAGCGCCGTCCTCTCCTTTTATCATGTGCTAACGTTTGTCATTCCGTGTTAGGATTCTTCGACAAACTGACCCCAACGGCTTTGCGTCTCTTGTGCTCCTGAACCGCAAATGGAGAGGTGTTTCTCAACGAGCTCATCTTTATCGCCATCAGCTATCGAGATGTCCTTCATATTCGGCGAGCCATCCCACACCACCACAATCGGACGATGACAATCTCCCCGAGTTGCGACGGCTTTTTGCTCGTGAAGTAAAGCGAAACCTCTTCCAGGCATATCTACGACCAAGGGAAGCGACGTTCAAGCTTATTTCGACCTCAATCAGCTCTTCATCATGTCCCGGTGGCGAGGGTATGCAATACAGTGCCTCCCCAAAGGGGCACCATCTTCTAGCATACAATTCGGGCAGGATTTATGTGATCGACTTGAAAGGTTTGAACCTGGAAGTCAAGAGGGAGTTTAAGATTCTTCGTCGGCCTGTCGCCGCTTGTATCAACGATAAAGGCACCCTCTTGGCAGTCTTGTCTACTGAGATGCAGGTCGACTTGTACGACTTGCAACAAAGCCCACCCCGCCGCTCACGGTCTATAATTCTTGACAACACTCCACGAACGATCGCTTTGTCCCCATGTGGTTCTGTTCTAGCTGCTGCTTATGAAGGTGGCATCGAGGTATCGTCTTTAAGGCCTGATGCGCTGGCCACTGATCGAAGAGCTGTGAAATGTGATGCTGTCGACGCTTTATCTTTCTCATTTGATGGGACTCAAATTCTCGGTACTACTATTCATTCGGCGCCACCTAGCACCGTCATAATTACAGCTCCATACTATGACCCAGGCCCTCATATGTCTGAAGATAACCTAAGCCCCCTATGGACGACGTCGATCCTGTTCCCAAACACCAGTCGTGACTGCAGTCATGCCGTTCTGCTTCAGGATGGAAGCGAAGAGGAGGCAAGCTGGACTTTCACCTATGACAGGAGTTTCGAGACCTTCCGAGCTGTTCGAATTGATGACCTTCGGAATGGCACAACTTACTTTACTGGACCCGTACCAAGTGTATCTCCACAAACCAGTCTCATTCCCTCCACACTCCCTTCTACAACATATCGGGGTGAACTAGTGTCGGCTGGTTTTCAAGGGAGGGAGGTATGGATATATGGCATACCTGAGGACTTGGATGCTGTCCCTGACAATGTGTCATCGTCAAACGATGGGTCGGCATCTGGTCTAGGGCGACAAAATAGTGATAGGAGTGGTACATCGCGACGGGCATCTACGCGAATCAATAACCCAGAAAGTGTCAGAGTGCCTAAATGGCAGATTTTGTGCGACCAACTAAGGAACACCTTTGTTTCTGGCTTCAGGGTTGCTGAGCACGGGGAAGTTAAAACAGTGAAATGGGTTGCAGGGCATGGTAGCTCATCTATTCAGGAGCGCCTGGTAATTGCCGCAAGGGGGGTCGGAGCACCGCGGTTAGTGACAGAGGAGGAAGATATGGATTTTGTCGATGGTGGTCGAGTCACGCTCTTGGACTTTGACTATGGCATTTCCAACGGAACCAAGTCAGAGATCGTCATTGAGGTCGGCACTGATAACCCAGAGGTGCTGGAGGAAGAGCAACGCGATCTGGCAACCGAAGTCGCCATTGTGCGGCGGCGTACTGTTGCTCAGAGGCGAGGTGGCCGTGGCGGCTCATCATTGCTTCGGGCTGCTACGTCAGCTTCTCGACCTCGTGCAGCTCCTGATGCTGCAGCTATACCGGCGGTCCCACGAATGCCGCTTAACGAGGACCACAGTAATGATGATGATGACCCTTTGCTTCCTCGGAGGATTGGTCAGCTTCCATCCCAGCCAGCAAATCGTCGAGCAGTTGTCGAACCTGTGAGCCCCAGTGAAGATGGAGATGCTCCTTCGATCGAAGAAATGGAGGCTTTAGATGCCCCTTACTCGCATGCTAGCCCACGTTCCCAGACCACGCTGCGTCGTGCTGCGACCGCTGCCGCCGTCGACAGATCCCTTCATCCCCGAACTGCGGATGGACGACGTATTGAGTATCGACGTGCTGATGGCCGAAGAGAGCATCCACATGAGAGTGATGCTGACAATTGGGTACCTCCTCCTCCACCATATCAAAAGGAGGACCCAGGCCCCGATTTGCCGGCCTTTATGCGTGGTCCTTCTGTTGCTCCCATAGGACTTGGCGGTGCATCTGTTCCAGCTCCAGCTCCAGTGTCAGCACTGCCAGATCATGCTATGTCCGCCTCTAGTCGTCCTGGGTCTGAGGATTACCGAGTACCCGGCACCGACTCCAAAGGCGAGCAGCCCGGAAACAATTCATCACAGCAAGCCTCTGGCCAACATCCTCTGCGAGGATATACCACCAGAGATCAACTGCAGGCTGGCGATGCAACACAAAACAGTGTGAGCCCTGTACCCCAGACGGATGAGGATGCTGATCTATACGACGTGACTCCCCCCCGCTCTCCACGACAGGAAGCGCCTCAACATACAGGCAGAACTTCTGAAACCAGGGCACGACAAACATCAATATCATCTGCTGTGTCAGCTCTTACATCTAGGGCCGTGGCAGTTCCTATCAACTCCTGTGAGGGGCAGTCACCTTCACCAGTGCAGGCAGATATCCCAGCTTACGTCCATTCTGGCCCAGGTGGTCGAATACCAGCGGTAAGTGTGGAGAGGCCATCGACCGTTTCTACGGCCCAGGTCGGGTCAGACCCAGCGCCTAGAGTGAGGCGGCTCTCGAATGCTCAAACTTGGCCTCGAGTTGCAGGCCATGAGGCTGAGCAAAATGTTGCGTCGGCTGAAGGGTATCCATTCCCAATGTCCCCACCTGCCGACCAACAGGCCGCGGATGAATCGATTTCGGGCCTCCCCCCTCTGCCGAGTTCGAGTCAGCTTGCGAGTCTTAGCAAAAGAGTCAGCCAGGGTAACCCAAGACGGCTTTCTGGAGGGTTCCAGGTCCCAAGAAGGCCTGTTGGGAGTTTCGACCGTAGTTCGTACGTGTCAAGCTCCCTGCCCAATTCATTAGTGGCAGGGCCATCCAATCTCAGTCGCCCAGAACCCGATCAACCTCTTATAATTAGCACTCCTAAGGGTGTATCGGGTGCTTTCGACTCTCCAAGCCGGCAAGTATCTGGGCGAAGGAATGAGACTCCTCTATTGGCCCCGATCCCTCGGCACCCACGGCCGGTACCTGGCTCGAATCAGAGGCCGACTGTTGAGCGACTTGAAACCATCTACAGTATTGCCTCGAGTCACGGAGGCAACCCGCCCACCACCGTTCCACTGCCCAACCAGCAGGTGCCGGCATGGCTGCATGCTCCTCCAGTGCCGGTCACTAGAACATCGCCAACTGTTAATCGCCGGCCAAGTCGTGCTGAACGAAGCGCAGCCAAAAACATCAAGGATGCCAAAAAGCGTGGTTGGTCAGCCAAACCTAAAAAGAAGAAGAAGGCTGCAGATGCTGCAAGCAGTGCAGGTTGGACAGACATATCGACCGGCTCTGGAGAGAGGGAAAAGGAGAAAGAGAAGGATAAGAAGTGTATCGTCATGTGAGACATCAACTTGCACAAATTGACAATATTGAGTAAACACTGGAGGTAATACCCAGGCTGGCGCCACATAAGAAGTTTATGGACATGATGGACTGGGCGCACATACCCAATCACTACGCTTTTTGTTTTGTGCGATTCGTTTCCTTTGGCATCAGCCTCGCGGGCTGCATCTTGTTCACTCGCTAGGTTCCCTTTCTTCTATCAACGGGTTGGCATAGCGTGTTTTTTTATTGTCATGGGAGCGCCGGAGTCAGCAAAAACGGCTAACAGAAAGTGAGTGCTTCTTGACGGTCATGGGTTATTTAGTTGTCGTTGTTATATACCAAACATATACCAGTTTTGATACTGCACTGAAGCAACTTGCTATGACTGATTTCTTTGATCCATTCCTTTTGCTTGACTTGTTTTGAGACGAGACGATCGAATATTCGCATATCATTTCTTAAATAATCTATCTATAACTCTTATCAAACATAAAACATTGCAATATTAAAGCATAACAAGATTTGGGTCTTGCTGAATTAGCCCAGGGTATAAACGACAGCTACTCCAGTATTTATATCCACAACGCCCAAAATCAGTTCTAGTGAGAGGATGCCACCCTGCACTGCAGGTGGTGGTGAAGGGATGTTGCATTAGAGAGAGACGTGAATGGTGTGACTCGAAAGGAAATGGTAAAAGCCAGTGAGGTCTAAATTCTGGGAGTGGTTCCGGGGACGTAGGGCTTCCCTCGCCGCACAGCGCCAAGATCAGCCTCGTCCATCAGGTCGGTGAATGTTGTCGCTCTCGTCAGGGGGCGGGGTTTCACGATGGTGCTGGGGTCCGCGAAAACATTGATATTCTCGCTACTCGGCTCACGCTGAAGCTCAGGGGTACTTGGTCGGCGACTACAGTACGACGAGCCCTTCATAGCGCGGATCGGGGGCAGCCGAACGTTTCCATGTCGAAGAGACTCTTCATTGTCGAAGGGACTGGGTTGGGCATTGGGTGAGGGATTGGGTGAGTCGAAGGGATTCGGAATAGAGATACGAATCCGCGGAGGCGGGGCGTTGAGGCGCGTGCCAGCACTGGAGAGCTGGCGCGCAGGCACAATGCTTGAGCGTTGGGTTGAAGGGGTCTTGAGGATGAAGTCGGCGCGGTAAGAGTTGGGCTGGCTGATGGGCTCGGAGATGATATTTCCGAACGAGGCATCGCTCGTGGATCGACGGCCGTACCCGTATATATGACTACCCTTCTCTGAACCTTGCGCATCACGTTTGTTCTGGCGACGGACGTAGAGGAAGATTACAACGGCGGTTATCAGAAGAATGATACTGCCGCCGACGACGCCGCCGACGATGGAGGTAGTAGCAGGCCCCGAGTTGCCGGACTTGGAGTCTTCGTCCTTGTCTGAGCTATTATCTGAGCCAACTGCTGCTGTGGGCTCAGCGCTCGTGGAGGGTGCAGCGCTGATGGAGATGGTCTCGATAGCCCCCGTAGCAGTAGTTATGGCACTGGGAATCGGCGTAGACGTCTCGTTGGGAAGCTCAGCGCCTTCTGGGACATTGGTCTGATCCTTGTCGATCACACACTGCTCGTCTTCACACGAGTATCCAAAAGGACAGCACTTCTGTCCACATTTTTCAAGATCGAGGTTGAATACTATGGTCTTGACAGGGGCGTTGGGGAACTCTCTCTGGTCCTGGCCGCGGATATCGCAGGTGATGGGTTGAATGACGTTACATGTCTGGCCGCTGGGACAGCATACTGCTGTGGTCTTGCCAGCGAGAAGTCTGCAGGAGTTGCCCTTGGGGCAGCAAAAGTTGGCAATGTCGCTGTTGCATGATGTCTGATCCGCATCGCATGTGTCTTGGCGGGCGAAGATACTGTTCGCGGGGAGAGCGGAGGATGCTGAAGCGTAGAGGGCTGTGATAAACAGGACCCTCAGGGGTGTTGGGAGTCTTCCCAAAAGCATATTTGGCGTGTATTATGCGTGTAGTTGTTGGTTGTGGTCTTTAGTGTCGGTTACTAAGCGTTGGTTTTGTTGGTTCGTTGTTGAAGGAATGTCTTCGGGTGAATGTGATATTGTATATGCAAGGAGTCAAGAGAAGATGATATGCAGAAGAGTTGGCAAGTCAGACACAGCCAGCGCGTATGACAAAGAGGTAAGGAATGAGTCAACTGAACAAGTGATTATATGGCTTGTTTTTGTTTGTTCGATAGAACAGCCAAGGTGAAGAAACGGAACAGTAAATACAGGACGCAGAATAAGAGAGGGAGAAAAAAGAGGGAAGACAAGGGTACTAGACAAAGACGGAGAATAGAACCATGAGGTCACTGTCTTCTTTCCATCATGGGCATGGATGGACATGGTCTTCCTCTGCCTTGCCGCCTTGTCCGTTGAGAGTCATCTCGACCCATTCGTGGACGATATTTCAGGCTCGACTGTCGCATCAGAGACCATTGGGCGGTTGATCAGAGATGCTGAGAGCCAGTCGCTGAGAGGGTCTAGGGCCTATCGCTTGACACGCCAGTGGACACTACGTAGTAGGTCTAGAACTGCCAGACATGGGAGGATAATAGAAACTGGTTTTGTTTGGCGATAATGTCGCCATGGTTGAGAGTTGAGACAGACGAAAATGCAGTGGTTGGCTGAGAGTCTCAGACGACATTAAGCGCGCGGCGATGCATGTCGCGGATTGGTTCCCGTTGAGCAGAGCCCAGTAAAAGTTTGGCTGTGGGAGGCTCTGTCTCAGGCGCTGAAGACTCATGGCCAAGCCCTAAGGCTGGGCGCGTAGTTTTCTAACTTGGACCCAGTCTGTGATGGGATCCAATGAGACGAGTAGCTCCATGAGAGAGGTCACTGTTTCAAGGCCAGTTCTGGGCACAGAGTGAGTGCAAGAAAGAGAAAAAAAAGAAAAAAGTGTTGTGTTATTTAAGCTTTAACATGCTGTTTCTTGTCGTTATGGGCTGCCTCTCTTTCGGTCTTGTCAGTGAAGATGGTAAGGTACTTAGGTAGGTACTTATGTACTCTCTACTTGGTTGTTCAGTGACGATAGGGATCCTGTCACTGGAATGGAACAAAGCACGGATATATTGGTCTCCAGTGCGTTCTCTGGTTCTTTGTCCCCGCTGTAACATGACTACCTAACTGAACCCTTACACCCATTATCGTGATACAAACCACCAAAAGCCTCTATCCTATAGTTAGACCATTACTGTAATATTCTTCGTCTATATCCGTACTGCATGCCATTTACCCGATCATCCCCTCTCTGACCCCCTTGTATTCGCCAAAGTCACCCCCTGGACTCTCGCACACAGAAATGCATCTCACAAAATCTAGGCTTCGGCAAGAGGCAAAAAGTCCACGTCTTCTCCGCTGCGGTCGTCAGTACAGAAAAGAATGCCCAGGATGCCCTACCTAACTTACCTTACACTACACTACAGGGGGTGTGTAAGTCATTAGATCCAGTAACTCTACGCACTGTCCAGAAGACCTGAAGACCGGGGGCATAGGTTGTCTTACCTTTCCTGTAGCTGTTGAAGAATACGTGTTTGCCTCTCAGTTTCCATACTGTAAATCAAATGCACTGCGATGCTATGCGATGCGCTGATGTGCTGGTCCCTTTCTGTATCCCTCGTTGTATATGCACTGCGACTCGTACGGAGTGGCGGCTTATGATGTTGCATGCATTGGACATTCTCATTCAGAGTGAGGCTTTAAGAGAGATGGTCTATAGGATAAAGTAGATATGGAAAAGGTTCCCAGATACCTATAAATACTATGAATTGTCCTCGTACTGCATTTGCATACTAGGTAGCATTGCATGCGGCTTCCTTTCCATACATCCGCAACAGGCATAAGGCCTCATTTGTCCAGCACGTGTGCCACAGTATAAACATTCTCAGACCACTGGAAAACTCCCTGTATCTAGATGCCTGATTACTAACCTACCTACCTACCTACTGTAGCAGCACATATCTGCATACCACCCCCACGGAGAACCTACCTCTCCCCGGCTTTCATGGTGTGATGATGCTGACCTCTGCCGGGGATAATTAAGCACACAAGTAAAAAGAACCCATCATATGCGGAATAATATGCTAGCAGGTGAAGTAATCAGACCGAGGTATTAATGCCCATCCCAGTTGTGCCTCTCGGAGTTGGGATCCCTTTTCAGAGGCTTGCAGTCAGCACTGGAGAAAAGTCCCCGAATTATGTGGCGTGAGTTACATGATCAGACAGATACTGTCATCTCACCTTCCGTGATCGTTACTGTGAGGGAATAAACAAAGTGCGTGGTAATGTCACAGTGTTGGGAGCCAATTGCAACAATAAAGTGCTTTGTTCATTGTCTGCCTTGTCTCAGCAAGGTCATCATGTCCTATCTGTATACCGCTTCCTTTCTGGGAGCTAGCCCATAACCAGCTTCCCAGAGCCTCTCTTTTCATATCGTCATCCTTCACGGCGCCTTTACCCCAGATCCTTCATTGCGCCGTTTCCCCCAATACCATTGCCCGCTTGGTATCATAGTAAAGCAATAAACAATAGCGAGTGGTCCCGAGTCTCGCGTTACTCGGCCGTTTCCATCCAGTAAACTGACATTTAGAACGGCATCGTGGTGCCGCCCCATTTGTTCCTGCATATGGCCATGGCCATCTATCTTCTGCCAAACGTCCTATGCATGCATGTCCCTAACGCCTCGTCCCCGTAACAAAATATGTCGAGTGTGGTGCATCCAAGTGTCGCTCTTCGTGCTCCCACAGTCATCTCAAAACGCCTTGCGGCTTCCTCTAGTAACCCATCCCAGTAGGTATCATTGTATATGAAGTGAAACGAAGAAAAGGAAAATATAACTCTGCCCTTTCGGGACAGAGAGTAAGTGAATAACATACCCTCGTGTAGGACTTGGAAGTCTCACTTCCAAGCCTGGTCCTCGACGGCTGGCAAATGCCTGCTTCGCCTGATGAGGTGGTCCTGGCCGCTCTCATGTTACTGAAAAGAAGGAAGGTCAGAGCAGAACTTGATGGTCTCACCCAGCACGGTCCTGCGACCCTTCAAAGGCCAGCCAAGAAGGTTTGCAAAGAGCAGTGCTCAGATCAACAAAAAGTCCCATCCCTTCGATTGCATGACATCCCGCCAGTGGATGTGTAGCTGGGCCGCCTCAGACGTCGTGGACCCGGGTGTGCTCACACCCGAGAGGCTGTCATTCTGAACCCACACCTCATGCAGGAGGGTGGCTACACGTCCCATGGTGCCAAACCTAGCCGAGTCGCCCAGCTGAGCCAGGCGATCCTCGAAGAATGCACGGAATGAGCTACCAGGAACGCTGATGGAGCCGCCAATGAGATAGACCCAAGCCAGGTTGCGGTCAAACCCATTGGGGCCCGAGGGAATGTGCTGAAGCACCGTAGTCAGCTTCTCAACCAAGCCCATGGGTGATGGCTGTCTAGGGTTGAATCCAGGAACCAGACTGCAGAGGAAGATGCGAGCAGCAATGCGGAAAGCCATGGTCATGTTCTTAGAAAGCTGCTTAGGTGAAAGACTGCCATTGGCATTGAAAGGCATCTTGGGGCCTGCATCGCCCATCTCGGTCAAGCTGATCTGTTCTCCAAGAGCAGAGACATGCTGGCAGAGTGTGAAGTCATCCATGCCATCCTTCTTGAGAGACTCGAGACAGGCGATCTCGGAAATGAGATACATGACCCGGTCATCACATCCCATCAGCTCGCGCAGGCCGAGGCTAGGGTTGAGCTGAGAAAGATGCTTCTCACGGTAAGTGTGAGCAAATGTTGGTGAGCGACCCTTCATGGTGGCACCGAGAATGTCAATCCATGACGAGAGAGACATGTTGAAGGGGGTTTGCATTGAAGCCCGAGTAGGGTCAGAGACGATGCCGGGAAGGTCAAGCTTCTGCACCAAGCTGATGGCGGCCTGGAAATGCTGATGCCAAGGAATATCGAGAAGCCCATCGTCGTAGCGGCCAACGACAGACTGGAAGAAGATGAGGCCAAGAGTCGCCTCGAGAATTTGCTGGTGATTCTCGTCCTTCTTGAGAGCCTCGCAAAGAGCCCAGATGGTAGCATAGCGATGGCGCATGATGTCGTTGTCAATGTCCTCAGTAGAGGTAGAGCCATTGGTATGTGATTTGAGGTGTTGAGCAGCAACACTCAGACAGCAGTGAAGGTAGGCACTGTTTGACTGAAGAGCAGGGAGTATCAGGTCTGAGCTGACTGAGCAATGTTGGTTGGACTCGAGGATGGGAAAGATGGTTGGCAGAACGAATTGGATGAAGTGGTCCAGCAGGCGCTGGTCATTTTCATCCAACTCAATCTTGACTTGCCTCGACTCTGTGGAAGGGCCATGTGAAAAGTCGAAGAAGTTGCAGTTGAGGGTCTCCTCTGAAAGGGATTCCTTGCGCTCTTGGAAGACCTGCTCGGCCCACTCGCCGTCGAGAGGACCGTTGGGTAGAACAGTACCTGCTGGGGGAGGAGTGTGGTAAGTGCTGAAGGTGGAGATGTGTGATTCGCGAACTGTGGGCACATCGTTCACAAACATCTGTCGCTCTGTCTTGACATCGATCTCGTAAGGCGAGTAGCTACCAAACATGAACTCGGGGTGCATTGGCGCACCGAATCCATACTCGTTCCCACTCGGGGGGCTGTTGAAGTTGAACGCAGCCGGGAATTGAGAGTCTATGGAGGCTGATCTTGTGCGGTCAAGGGGATCAGTGAAGGTGGCTGATGTGGGAAGAGAGTGCGTGAGGCCAGGAGGAGAGCTTGTGACAGAGTTCTGGATGTTGTGTGATGACTTCTCAGAGAGCTTCTTGCGCTTGATGATCATCTTGATGTCCTCCTTGTGTTTCCTTCTCATATCGTTGTTGCCCCACCACATGGGTCGCTTGTACTCGCATTGCAAGCCGAGGTGCTTGCAGGCTGTGCACATGGGAGTTCCCTCGTCGCATTTCTTGC